TTTTGTATTTTTAGTAGAGACGGGGTTTCACCATGTTGACCAGGATGGTCTCGATCTCTCGACCCTGTGATCCACCCGCCTCGGCCTCCCAAAGTGCTGGGATTACAGGCGTGAGCCACCGTGCCCGGCCGAGATTTTTTTTTTTTTTAAAGATGGGGTTTCACCATATTGGTCAGGCTGGTGTCGAACTCCTGACCTCAGGTGATCTGCCCACCTCAGCCTCCCAAAATGCTGGGATAACAGGTGTGAGCCACCCTGCCCAGCGATCGCCTGAGATTTTAACAGTGGGGGGGATTTAATCTTTAACCCCCAGGCCACTGACCTCATGCCTGCTACATCTCAACTTTTACTTTCTCCTTCTTTGAGACAAGAGACGGGAAAGAGGGGTTTCTTTCCTCAGAGCAAGTCCTCAGAAGCCTACTATTTGAGTTAGGCAGTCAACCCTGGCTTGTGTCTTCTTTTTGAAATAAGGACTTTGTTTTAACTGGGCCTTAGGATGGCCCTATTCCATGTTTTGGTAAAGGCAGAAATGCAGGCCAGGAGCCAGACTTCCAACAGGGGAAACAGTGGATCCTACACACTGCAGACAAAATCCCCTTTTTTTTTTGAGATGGAGTCTCGCTCTTGTTGCCCAGGCTGGAGTGCAGTGGCGTGATCTCGGCCTACCCAAACCTCCACCTCCTGGGTTCAAGTGATTCTCTTGCCTCAGCCTCCTAAGTAGCTGGGATTATTGGTGTGTGCCACCACGCCTGGCTAATTTTGTATTTTTAGTAGAGACGGGGTTTCTCCATGGTCTCGAACTCCCGACCTCAGGTGATCCACCTGCCTCAGCCTCCCAAAGTGCTGGGAGTAGAGGCGTGAGCCACTGTGCCCGGCCGTGTTGAGGCCCTCTGAAAGGTATCACAGATCCACGGAGAGACCATGGGCGTTGGTGATTCACTGATTTAAGGGCCAGCAGAAAGGAATTTTGGGTGTGAAGGTTCCAATCTCGCAAATCTGAGCTGCATTCTCCTCCGGGGTAGGGCCGGGCAGGCCCACCGAGGAGTACAAGCCAGCCCTTGGGGGCAGTCATGAGTCAGAAGCACAGCATTTGCCATCAGCTGAACAATTTAGAAAAGCTGCTGCTGAAATTCAGGCCCTACTGTGGGGTTGGTGGGGTCTGGCTTTGCCTGGACGCCAGCAGGGAACATTGGGACAGGAGCCATGGACCTCCGATGATCTCAGTGTGACCTTAAGTCTCTGCTTTCCAGTGAAAGTGACAATTCACTGAGCACCTCCTTGTGCTGGGCCTCGTCCTGAAGCAGGAGCAGCCTTGGGAAACAGACCTGTCGAACACCGAACTGGGAAGCAAGGGGTGATTTATTTGGCCGGGAGCAAGGTGACACAGCTGCCTAACAGCCAAGCTCACCTAACAAAGGAAATCTCTGCCTTTATAAAGGCTCACAACTCTAGATATTACACGGGAAAGGGTCTTGGGATTACAGCTCTAGGATTTACATGCGAAAGGGTTTTAGGCCCTGAAGTAGGGTAGGGTACAGTGATTTAGGTGGGGGTTTGATTGTGTTTAAGTTAAAACAATGCCTTCCGGAAAGATTCCTCCACACCACGCCTGCGATCTATAGGAGGGTGATTAAAGGTGGCACCTGGTCTGCCAGCCTTTACTTCCCCTATTGAAATGCAGTGTGGAAGTCAAGGGGGAGGTGCTCTTAAATGCTTAAGGGTGATTAAGGGTCTCCTTCCTCACTCCTAGTGGCTTCTCCAGGTCTCCCTCTCCCTCATCACATGGCACATAAGCTGTGATTTATCCTGAGTTTACAGAGTTCAGGATCCTGTGGTTGATCAGCGCAGAGCTGAGTTTTCAGCCTGGGACTCTCAAGAGTCTCTCATGGCTTTTAGTGCAAAGTCCAAATTCCTAAAGCGCCTCCAGGTCCCCCGATGATCCCTGTACCTTCATCTTGGGCCCCTGTCCCTTGCCCTCTGTGCTCCAGCGTGCCTGTTTTCTGTTCTTCACATATGCCCCACTTCTTCTGGCCCCAGGGCCTTTGCACATGCTGTCCCTTCTGCCTTGAATGTTGTTGCTCCAGCCCTTCCTTCATCTGGTTAATGTCAATACACCTTTCAAGCCTCAGATTGTTTGTTTTAGTTTTTTTTGAGACAGAGTCTGGCTCTGTTGGCCCAGGCTGGAGTGCAGCCTTGAGATCATGACTCACTGTGGCCTCAACCTCCCGGGCTCAAGCGATCCTTCTGCCTCAGCCCCCACCCAAGTAGCTGGGACCACAGATGTGCACTACCACACACAGCTAATTTTTTGTAGAGAGGGTTTCATCATGTTGCCCAGGCTGGCTTGAACTCCTGAGCTCAAGTGATCCACCTGCCTTGGCCTCCCAAAGTGCTGGGATTACAGGCATGAGCCACCGTACCTGGCTTGTTTTAGAGATGGGATCTTACTATGTTGCCCAGGTTGGTCTCAAACTCCTGGGCTCAAGAGATTCTCCTACCTTGGCTTCCCAAAGTGCTGGGATTACAGGCATGAGCCACCACACCTGGCTTTACAGGTGCGAGTCTTGTTATGTTGCCCAGGCTGGTCTCGAACTCCTGGGCTCAAGCGATTCTCCTGCCTTGGCCTCCCAAAGTGCTGGGATTACTGGTGTGAGCCACCTCGCCCAGCCCTAAGCCTCAGCTTTCATGTCACTGCCTCAGAGAAGCCGTCTCAGATCCTCGGACTGGGTCAGGTCCCATGTAAACATTCTCAAGGCCGGCCCTGTCTTCTCCTTACCAGGTGAGACCCCCCCCTGGCCTTCCCTGGTTCATAGGCAACTCCCCCATCAGACTGTGAGCTTCATAAAAGCAGGGACAGGTGGGCCTTTTCACAGTGAGCTCCCAGCCCCTGGCTCAGGTAGGAGTCGTGGATGATGTTGGATGGGCGTGCACCTCTGTCCTGCTGCTGTGAACTCTGGCCACAGACAAAACACAGCCCCAGGTGACTGGGCCGTTCATCTCATGAGGAGTGACTCTCAGTTGGTGTATTTCAGGCCTTTGCCAACCCCGAGGACGCCCTGAGACATGGAGGCCTCCAGTATTGCCGGAGCGACCCCGACGTGGAGCGCTGCCTCAGGCAAGTACTTCGGGGCCCCGGCCTGGCCACACCTCGACATGGCCTGCCCTTCCAGACTTTCTTCTGCACACAGGGCGGGGGGTTGGAGGATTCCCAGGGGCTGAGGTTTTCTGTGTTCCTGATCTGCTCTGACTGTTTTACTTTATTCAGTGAATAATTTCTAATAAACTTTGTAAGACATGGTCATAACTCACAATTACAAAGTGAGAAAGGATCTTCAGTGAAAATTCAGGCTCCCTCCTACCTCTGACCTCAAGGCACTACCCAGTTCACTGTCCGGGGCAAACCCTCCTGCCAGGGGCCATGCGTTTTCCCACAGAGACTTTCTGCATTTACAAACATGTGCTGCGCTTTTCCTGCTCTACCCCATAGACTCACCCTTTATCCACTGGTCTGTACTGTGCTTTTAAAAAAATTATTATTAATATGACAACAGAGATTGTTCTGTGTCGGCCCACAGAGGAGCTGCATTCACTGTATTGATGCTCCGGCATTTATGCTGCACTCTGTTGAATGTATGGCCTGTAACTTCTCTAACCAATTCCCCTCCGATGGGCATTTGGGGTCTTTCTGTGTTATGAACAGAAGACCTGGACACCACTTTTTTTTTTTTTTTTTTCCTTTTTTCTTTTTGAGACAAAGCCTTGCTCTGTTGCCCAGGCTGGAGTGCAATGGCTCACTGCAATCTCCACCTCCCGGGTTCAAGCGATTCTCCTGCCTCAGCCTCCCGAGTAGCTGGGACTACAGGCACGTGCCACCACGCCTGCCTAATGTTTGTATTTTTAGTAGAGATGGGTTACACCATGTTGGCCAGGCTGGTCTCAAACTCCTGACCTCAGGTGATCCGTCCGCCTCGGCCTTCCAGAGCACTGGGATTACAGGCTTGAGCCACCACGCGCGGTGTCAACACCTCTTTCATTTGTCTTTGTGGTTGTGTGTGAGCAAAACCGCAGGGTGCAACAAAATAATAAAATGTTTATATATACGCACACACACATATATTTAATTAATTAATTAATTGATTTTTCTTATGCTTGCCTACAGAAAAATTATTTATTTTTTGAGACGGGGTTTCACCATGTTGGCCAAGATGGTCTCGATCTCTTGATCTAGTGATCCACCCACCTCGGCCTCCCAAAGTGCTGGGATTACAGGCGTGAGCCACCGCGCCCGGCCACCACTCACAGCTCTAGTCATGGTTCACGCTTGCATCTCTCTCCTCTTTGTTTTCTGTGTCTAAATATTTTTCATAAATTAGGCATGCATTAGGTACATCCAATTTGGAGTTCTGATTTTCTTTTAACATTATTTCACGAACACTTTCCATGTTGGTAAATGTTACTCAAAAAATGGTTCTTGGCCAGGTGTGGTGGCTCATGCCTGTAATCCCAGACTTTGGGAGGCCGAGGTGGGAGGATCACTGAGATCAGGAGTTCGAGACCAGCCTGACCAAGATGGCGAAACCCCGTCTCTACTAAAATACAAAATTTAGCCAGGCATGTGGCACATGCCTGTAGTCCCAGCTACTTGGGAGGCTGTGGCAGGAGAATCGTTTGAACCCAGGAGGCGGAGGTTGCAGTGAGCCAAGATTGTGCCATTGCACTCCAGCCTGGGGGATACTGTGAGAATCCATCTCAAAAAAAAAAAAAGATTTTTAAAAAAACTGGCTTTGTAAAAAAAAAAAAAAAACCCATCAGAGATTAAATGTTAATTTCACATAATCGCAATCAATATTAAACTTTGTTGGCAGTTTCTGCTCTGCCAGTTTTCACCAGTGAACTGGAGAGTGAGGTTGGGGGTCATCGGAGGAGCTTGAAGGGGAAGTGGGGAGGATGGGGAGCTGGACGGGCTGAGGCCGGAGACAAATCGTCGCACGGGTCTCAACACATTCCCCTGCGTCACAGGCGGAAATGGGTGGGGCACTGTCATTTAAATAATACAAATGTCTTTCACTTGAAAGAAAGTCTGTGGGTTTTTTTCTTATGTTTTTCTTGGCCATTGACAATAATATGCACACTTGTGGTTTTTAAAAACATTACAGACATGTGTCACGTAGGAAGTGAAATTCCTTGCTATTTCACCCTTTCAAATCCTTCATATGAGATCTGTCTGTCCTTTAATGAGCATCTACTATGTCCAAGACACTCTGCTAAGCACCAGCTGTACTTGCATGAACAAAAGTCCTCTCCATACATGACTTCCGTTGGTGACTCTTGTTCTGGCTTCTCTCGTCCCTCCTGGACAGTGGAGAAGGACGGGATGAGCTGTCCAGGCAGCAAGCAGCCAGGACAGTGGGTCACCCGGGGCCAGCTCACAGCAGCCACCAACAGGATGCGTTTTGGCTCCTCCAGACTGCAGAGGTTTTCTGTAGGCAAGCTTTCATGTGGCGTAGGAGTGGTCAAGTGGCCTCACAGACACTCGGTTTATTTTTACTGCCTGAAACCATGCCAGGGAGAGACAATAGACCCGGGCGGTGCCAAGATATTTCCAACCAACCAATCATCCTTTTTATTTTTGGGGATGGAGTTTTGCTTTTGTTGCCCAGGCTGGAGTGCAATGGCACAATCTCGGCTCACTGCAACTTCCTCCTTCTGGGTTTGAGCGATTCTCCTGCCTCAGCCTCCCGAGTAGCTGGGATTACAGGCGCTTGCCACCACACTCAGCTAAATTTTGTATTTTTAGTAGAGACGGGGTTTCATCATCTTGGCCAGACTGGTCTGAACTTCTGACTTCAGGTGATCCACCTACCTCGATCTTCCAAAATGCTGGGATTACAGGTTGAACCACTGCGCCCAGCCCAGAATAACCGAGCGTCTGTCGTACTGGGGCTTAAATGGTTCAAATTCAACTCAGCACCTTCTGAGTGCCTTTTATCTAATAACACTTTACAGCCATTTGGTGAGGATTTATTGGAGGCCGGCCGTACACTGGGCCCATGCCAGATCTGGGGAGTGCCTGGGTCCCCTGGGCCCCTCATCTGCCACCTGATTTCACAGAACATCACGGAAACTCGAGAGTGCAGAACTAAGGGAATTCTGTATCCTGTGTCTGCTACCGGAGAACTGGCTGGAACCCGAAGGAGAGACCACCTGGAAGGAAAAGTGGGTTAAATATTAGACCAGGGTTTATGGTGTGATTCGAGACGCCTTCTGTCAAATAGGAAAGCACTGGAGACTTGGTTCTTGGGCATAAATCTGCCTTGCAGGTTAGCACATGCTGGAGTCCAAATGTGAGCCCAGCTCTGGGAGAAGCCAGGGACCAGCCGCCTTTTCAGGATACCTCTCCAGAGTTCCTGGCAATGTGCGTTTTGGCCAAAATCTGAGGTTGTGCGTATGGAACGACATGGAGGGGGCTATCTTGTGGTCCCAAAGAAGGGAGGCAGACACGTGACCTAAGCCGGAGTATCTCTGTTTGGAATGTATAGACTTAAACTGAGTGAACTGGTTTGTCAGGAATTTCGGTCCCAAAATGTCAGCCCTAGAAGTCCCTTAGATGTCATCTAGCATATTCATTTGTACATAGTGAACTGCAGGCCCAGAGTGAGAGAGATTTGCCTGAGGCCATGGGGCTCATTAGCACCATAGCAGAACCGGAGATTTCCAACCTAACACTCACTTCCCACCGTACCATGAAGTGCTTAAAAAAAAATTTTTTTTTTTTTTGAGATGGAGTTTTGCTCTTGTTGCCAAGGCTGGAGTGCAATGGCGCAATCTCGGCTCACTGCAACCTCCACCTCCCGGGTTCGAGCAATTCTCTAGCCTCAGCCTCCTGAGGAGCTGGGATTACAGGCACCCGCCACCACGCCTGGCTAATTTTTGTATTTTTAGTAGAGACGGGGTTTCACCATGTTGGTCAGGCTGGTCTCGAACTCCTGACCTCAGGTGATCCGCCTGCCTCAGCCTCCCAAAGTGCTGGGATTACAGGCATGAGCCACTGCACCCGGACTTATTTATTTATTTATTTATTTATGATACAGGATCTTGATTTGTCACCCAGGCTGGAGTGCAATGGTGGAATCCTGGTTCACTGATGCCGTGACCTGGGCTCAAACGATCTTCTCACTTCAGCCTCCTGGGTAGCCGGGACCACAGGCACGTGCCACTGTGACTGGCTAATTTTTAGATTTTTATAATTGTAGAGATGAGATTTTGCAAACTCCAGGGCTCAAGTGACCCTCCCGTTTCAGCCTGGGATTACAGGTGTGCACCACTACACGCAGCCCCATAAAGTACTTTCTGTTCATTTGGCCTGGGTGTCTGAGGGCAGTCAGGAAGTCTGGCAGAGCCAAGAGGGTAAAGAGAGCTTTAGCGACAGTGTCCAGGACAGGGCCCGTGATGGCAATGGAGGAGATGGTGGCTCGATTAAAATCTCCCTACTCAGCAGAGCACAGTGGCTCACGCCTGTAATCCCTGCACTTTGGGAGGCTGAGGTGGGCAGATCACTTGCGGTCAGGAGTTTGAGACCAGCCTGGCCAGCATGGCAAAAACTCATCTCTACTAAAAATACAAAAATTAGCCGGATATGATGGCGCTTGCCTGTAATCCCAGCTCCTTGGGAGGCTGAGGCGGGAGAATCACTTGAACCTGGGAGGCAGAGGTTGCAGTGAGCCAAGACAGCACCATTGCACTCCAGCCCGGGCCACAAGAAGGAAACTCCATCTCTTGAACCCAGGAGGTGGAGGCTGCGGTGAGCCGAGATTGCACCATTGTACTCTAGCCTGGGTGATAGAGATTCTGTCTCCAAAAAAAACCCAAAAACGATTTCCCTATTTAGTGCTCAGGAGTGTTGTAAGTGCTTTCCAGGGATCCACTCAGTTGGCACTGTGAGAACCCTGGCACTCTTGGCCCTGCTCCTGAGGCTGTCCCTCTCCGAGAAGGCGATGTCACTGTCTTGTATACCTGCCTTTGAAACGAAGCAAGCACTGCATTGTGTCAACCCTGAGACACATTCAAGGAAATTGCCACCGTGGATGTCGGCAGGGCTCGGGGGAAGAGAAGAGGAAACCGTGCGGAGCAGCCAGCAGCTGTCCCCGTCCTGGATGTCTGGGGGTCGCTGTCCTCACCGCTGTCACTGATGCAGTAAAATGCAGCTGGTATGGAAGAGGCTGGAGGGTGAGGCAGGTCTGATGCTGCAGCAGACGCTACAAGTCCGGTCTAGTAGGAATCTGCTTTGGGTGGCTTTTACCTTAAAAAAAGTGGTTATTATTTGAATGATGCATTTCACCCAAGCACGTCTGTGGTACGTGCCTGCCTCCATGTCTCTCAGTTTGGAGCCTGGAGGTGGGAGGAGGGCGGTGAGCTTCCTTCCATCATTCCTGATGTCTCCATTGCTCCCTGTCCCTGGCATCCTTGCGGCCTTGGAGGGGCCCCACTGCGGTTTGAGACAGACCAGACGAGGGAGGGAGGGCTGGGCCAGCCCCAGGGGCTCGGAGTCAGAGCTCCTGACCACCTCTCCTACCACGCTGGTGACCTCTGAGTCGCTGCCCAATGGCTGGAAATAGAAGGGGGGCTCAGTCCCCACTACACGGTTTCTGCAAGGCCTGCTCCTCCCCAGCTGGCAGAAGACATGCCCCGCAGAGCGGGACCCACGTCTGCCACGAACTTCCCCACTGCTTGTTCCTCCTTCCCACCCTGTGCTCCCCAACTTTTTCCTTCACCCACTCTTCAGGGTTTGGCTGTGTCTGTGAACTGTCTGTCCTGTGATTCTCTTAACAGCTTCCTAAACATTGATGCACTCTTAAAATATCAACACATGGCCGGGCGCGGTGGCTCAAGCCTGTAATCCCAGCACTTTGGGAGGCCGAGGCGGGTGGATCACGAGGTCAAGAGATCGAGACCATCCTGGTCAACATGGTGAAACCCCGTCCCTACT